TAAACCCTTAGCGCTACTAGGTGTGCCCCCCCAAAAAAAATCATTTGCCGTTCATTCAATTTAGCAAACGTAGTCTCCCTCAAGGAGTTTACAGTCTAGTGAGGCAGGGAAAACAATACATAGCTGGGACTAGAAAGATAGTATAGTGGGGAAGGATGCTTGCCTAGTACACGGCCGCCCAGGTTTAATCCCCAGAATCCCATATGGTTCCCTGAACACCATCAGGTGTAATTTCTGAGTGCAGAGCCAGGAGTAACCCCTGAGCACAGCTGGGTGTGCATCCTGAAACAAAACAACAAAATAAAACAACACACAGCTACAAATGTGCTATGAAGAAAAGTGGGTCAGAGGGGGGTCAGAGAGATAGTACAATGCACGATCTACCGGGATTTGATCTTTAGACCCCACCTGAGTGATATCTGAATGCAGAGACAGGAGCAAGTGCTGAGCACTCCCGTGTCTGGCTCCTCCCCCTGAACACCCAAAAGAGAACCAAGGAAGATCAGCAGGAACTTCCTGATTTAGATCAGGCTGCAAAGGAAAGACTCTGAGAAAGAAACATTTATTTCACTTGTTTTGTTTTTGGGCTACAGCCGACAGTGCTTAGAGCTTACTCCTGGCTCTGTGCTCAAGGAGCACTCCTGGTGGAAGTGCAGGGACCATATGGGGTGCGGGGGACTGAACTTAGGTAGGCCATGTGCAAGGCAAGCACCCTACCTCCAAAAGCAACGTTGCATCAGAGACTTGAAAGATAAATATAAGTTAACTAGTTAAAGTGGGTTGGGGGCACTTCAAGAAAAGAGAATAGCATATTTTAATTCCCTGGGGGTATTAACACATGAAAAAAGATGAGAGTGGCGGGAGTATAGTGGGTGAGTGACAAAAGGGCAGGGTCCAGTCTGGGTGCTGGGCCTTGAAAGCTTCCGTGGTAAGACACCGGTTTGAAGTGCCACAGAAAGCCAAGGAAGGCTATCAGGTTAAAGGCCATATGGGAGAGGGCTTAAAGGACTGGAGTGTGTGTTTTGTATGCAGGAGCACAGGAATCCTGGTACCACATGGTCTCCAAACAAGTCTGGGTATAGCCCCCCAATGAGTAAAGAAATAAATGCGGCACAACTTGTGTCAGTGCTACAAATTGTGGGACAGTTCCTAGGAAAGACTTCCTTTGTTTTATATTCATTCAAACGTGCAATGAATGTTTAAATGACACCAGCCCTATGCTAGTGTCAGGGGGATGACAATGATGGTAGAACACTGGAAGGCATAGCTCTTCCTCAGAGCCTGTGATCCAGGAGAGATTAGAGAGCTACGGTGATTGAATCAATAAGTGATGTAATTTATTCATTCAACAAACCAACTGCACACCTAATCTATTTCAAACCCTGTGCTGCATACTGGTTTTTTGCCTTTCAAGGATCATATAGCACACATAGGTCATAGGAGAGGCACAAAACATACTTGAGTAATTCTGAGTAGGAATCATTTTCAGCTATTATATCTGTGAAGACTTTCTAAAACATCCATCATTTGAGGCCAGAGAGGTAGATTAAAGGGCTAAGTTCATTGTGTGCAGGCCTGAGTTGGATCCCCCTCACTGCCCAGTCCCCTAAGCACTGGGCCAGACCTTGAGCACAATCAGGTATGACCCCCAAAACCAACATAAATAAAACATCCATCATTTGACTGATACACATCTCCAGGCATCTTTTCTGTACTAGGAAATGAGCTAGGTCCTTAAAGGACCTTAGCATTGCATAACAGACATAACCCAGTGCATCAAAATACTAGGTCCTGGGTTCAGAGGTGCAAGTGGAGGGGGTTTTGAGGGTATAGGCTATGTCCAAGAGTTTCTTCTTGGTTCTGTTCTCAGTGATCACTCCTGGCAGTGCAAGGGAACCACATGTGGTGCTCAGGAGACAATAAATCAGGATCAGCCAGATGCAAGGCAAAAGCACCTTCCTTAGACTCTGTACTGTCTTTCTGGCCCCTAACACAGGGTTTTCAGAGAGCCTGTCTTGCAAGTTCCAGTGTTCCGTGTGTACCAAGTATGATCCTGGTAACTCGGCTATTTGTGATCCCCATCACAAGTAACACTGGAGCCAGATGTGCAGGCATCACAAAAAGGATGCAGTGCTCAGTGAACACCATCACTAAAATCATGCACAAGCCACCAGTCTGGGGACATAACTCAAAGGGTTTGAGCATATGTTTTGCATGCCAGAGGCCTGACTTTGATTCTTGGTACCACTAGGGGTGGGGGGGGAGCACCATCAGAAGCAACCTGAAAGTACTGAGCCAATCAATAGTAGCTCCTAAGCACCTCCAGGTGTGGCCCCAAAACAAAACAAAATTCACAAGCACCAGAGCCAGAAAATGCAATCTCTGGTGAGCATGTGTGAGCACTGCAGCAAGTACCACAATAATGAGGGGAGCTCAACTTACAGTGAGTCCCCAGAGAGCATGCATCAAGCACCACACCTAAACAATTGCAAATCTGGGTGGAAACCATGACTGAGTGTGCAAGCACCACACTCTGATGTGAGAGCCCCGTGAGCACAGCTAAAATGTGGGTACCCCACAGGCAGGTATATGTGTAACCTCCTCACACACACTGTGTTGTCATCATAACATCAACAATGAAGGGAAGAAAAGGGGGAGGAAATAGAATAACTGCTTTAGGACCAGAGAGAGCTCAACCGACTGAGCATATGCTTTGCATGTGGGAAGCCTCCGTTGCATGCCTAGAAGCACATGAGCCCCCAAGCATTGCTGTGAATAACCCCCAAGTGCCAGGAGTAGCCCCTGAGCACCATTAGATGTGCTCCAAAAAAACATATAAAAAACATTTTTCAAACATAAAATATGGGCCAGAGAGATAGTACAGGAGATGTTTGCCTTGCTTCCCAATAACCTGGCACTATCTATGGTTCCCTGAGCACTATCAGGGGTCACTCTGAGCACAAAGCCAGGAATAGCCCCTGATAATTGCCTACAGGGTATGGCCTAAAAGCCCCAAATAAGCAAATAATAAATATTTAAGTGATGATGGCAGATTTCCTATAAATCAGCATCAAGGAAGTGGTAAAAAAAATACTTTGCCCGGGGCCAGAGAGAGCTCACATGCTGGAGTTCACGCTTTGCATACAAGAGACCCAAGTTTGATCCCTGTACCACATGGTTCCCTGAACACCACCACAATTGACCACTCCCCCAAGCACTGACCCAAGAGCAGCCACTGAGCACCATCAAGAGGGTCCCTGAAACAAGCAAACAAACATCCCTAAAAGCACATGTCCCATCTTCCTACGTGGATTTGCCCATACCGCTCTCCTGTCTGACTTTGTTGTCCCATTTTCCCTACCATGCCAACAGATTAAAGAGGATATGTTGTTTATCTCTCTTTCTTTGTATCTTTCTTTTTTCTTTCTTTTTTGTTGCCAAGGACGAACCCAGGAGACTTTATATAAGCAAGGCACTCAGTTTGCCACTGAGGTATATCCCAGGCTAGCTCAGCATCCTTTTAAAGTCCCAGAGAAGTCAGTATTTGAGCCTAGTTTCTACATTATTTTTATAATTTTGAGCCAGAGAACATATGGTTCCCCAAGTCTTGCCAGGAGTGATCCTTGAGTGCAGAGCCAGAAGAGAGCCCTTAATACACTTGGCTGTGGAAAAGAAAGAGAAAAAAGAGAGAAAAGAAAGGAGACAGAGAAGGAGAGAAGGAAGGAAGGGAGGGAGGGAGGGAGGGAGGGAGGAAGGAAGGAAGGAAGGAAGGAAGAAAGGAAGGAAGGAAGGGAGGGAGGGAGGGAGGGAGGGAGGAAGGGGTGAGTTTGGGCCAGAGACATAATACAGTGGGTTAGGTACTTGCCTTTTATGCAGCCAACCTGGGTTCAATCCCCAGCACCCCATATGGTCCCCCAAGCCCTACCAGGAAAGATCCCTGAATGCAGAGCCAGGAGTAAGCCCTGAGCACTGCTGGCTATGATCCAAAAGAAAATATAAATATATTGGGGGGGGAAGGATATGGGGTTAGGGCCACACTCTGTAGTGCTCAGGAGTTGTATGCAGAGGACCATATGAAGATAGAACCTGGGTTCACTATACACAAGGTAAGAGTCTTAGTCCCTGCACTATCTTTCTGGCCTCTGAATCTGGCTTCTTTATACAATTGCTTATGAGTTGAGACAATTACTTTGGAGAGATTATAGCAGGGTTAAGGTACTTGTCTGAAGCCCTCAGACCCCTTTTAAATCCCTAATACCACATATGATCCCCCAAGCACTACCAGGGGTTAATCTTGAGCATAGAGCCAGGAATACAGGTATAGACTCCACACAAACACCTGCCCCACCCCAGCCCCACAAAAAAGGACTTAATTTCCCTGAGACTTTCAGCCTTTGTACAAATTGTCCTTTCTTTACTACCATTATGTCATGAGAGACCACAAAATGGAAAGGGCAAGGGAGATACGCTTGGATTTGCAATGCAGCCACTCACTTCACCATCCTGTTTCTCCCTGGGAAAGCATCTAAAGTCATATGTGTAATCAGTTGATTTGGTTTCGATTTGGGGCCTCACCAGGAAGTGCTGGGCGGTGCTCAGAGCGACTACTCCTGGCTCTGTGCTCCCAGCTGTGCTAAGAGGGCCATGTGGTGCTGGGGATCAATAGCCCATGCCTCTCGAAAGCAAAGGAAAAGCTCTAGCCCTTTGAAATATCTCCCAGGTTCTAACCGATTTTATAGAGTTAGGAATAATATGCCTCAAGAACTTGGCACCTAAGGAGCACGCAATAAACTGAAGATCGGGCCTCTGGGGACGGCTTGGGATACAGAAATTCACAGCTCTAGGTAACGCTCCCAGAACTGCACCTTGCTTGAAGGCAGTCCGTCAGCGCGAACACGTGGGCCGGCGGGAACCCCAGAAGCGGAGTCAGGCAACCGGGCCCGGAGGGACGCGGCTCCAATTCCCGGGGGGACGAGCAAGGCGGCGGACGCCTCCTCCAGGAAGTGACGTCGCAGGAGCGAGCGCCCGGAGCGCGGTGCGCGCAGTATGGCGGGAGCGGAAGGAAGTTCGAAGCGCCTGTTGCCGCCACTCACACCCCCGCCCGGGATGGCGGAAGTGGAGGCGCCGACGGCAGCTCACAAGGACCAGACGCAGTGTGCCGCCGCCATGGACGTGGAGCGGAGCCGCTTCCCCTACTGCGTGGTCTGGACGCCCATCCCGGTGCTCACGTGAGTGTCCTCCGGCGTCGGCTCGGGACGCGGAGATCCGGGACCGGGGCGGCGTCCTCGGATGACCCCGGAGCGGCGTCCAGCCGGGGCAGGACGCTCACGCCTCGCCCAGGTCCCCATTGCGCCCTCGGCACCCGGGGGAGCCCGGGAGAAACAGCCGCGGGCGAGGGGCCGGGCGGTCCCGCATCCGGCACCCACGGACGAGCGGCCCCTGACGGTGCCACCGGGCGCCTCCATTCATGCGTTGGTCTCTTCATTCATGCACCGACGCTTGCAAACCATTTCCAGCCCGCACAGCATCCACGTTTAAATGTTGGGGAGCATCCAAGTTTAAATCCTTTAAGATCAATGGACGCGGGGGTGGGAGTTCGATGGGGATCACGTCGCCTTTGGGGCCCCCCCGGAGGCCCGGGAGTTCACGCCTGGTCCCGAAGGTGAGGCAGGAGCGCACACCTCACACTGATGGGCAGGTTGAGGTCCCAGGGCGATGCCCGCCGAGACCGTGGCTCTTTCTTGCCGTGGCATCAGCCAGTGTCAAGAGAGAAGCTGGCACCCCAGCAGTGCGAGGGGTCCCTGCGTGTGGGGTGGGGGTGTTGGTTTGCCCTCCTGCCTCCGCATTAATGGCCCTGGGACCGACCACCAAGCTCCTTCCCATTCTGAATTTTACAGCCACATTCTTTTTTTTTTTTAATTCGGTGCTGGGGATGAACCTCAGTTGCTCATTCATGTAGGGCTGTACTGGCGGCCTGAGTATTCTGTCCCCAGCCCACCAGGCGCATTGGGGGTGGGAGTGGGTTTTCTCTTCCCATGTTCATGCCTCAGCTGGTGTCATGATGTGGTTCTCCTAGAAGTAAGCCAAGGGCGCCAGACTCAGCTCTCTGACTCCATAACTTGTTCCCTCCCATCTCACCTGAGGATAGGTTTATTTGTGTTTTCTATCAAAAGCAGCCAAGTGGCGATAAGGAGAGAGGATTGTTTTTTGGCCTTTACATGTTGCTGACCCTACAATTGTCTTGTCTTTGTGTTAAAATACCTTGTGTTTTCGAAAGCTTGTGCATTTGTTTTGGAACGTGCAAGTTTAAATCCTTTAAAATAAACATTTTAAGAAAGTGTGTTATTAATTTAGTGTTCTTTAAACATAATTGCTAAGTGGCTTCTGTGTACCTAGAGAAGTTCTAGATTATAAGAATATACAGGGGCTGGAGAAATAGTACAGGTTTAAGGCGCCTTCCTTGTCTGCCACTGACCCTAATCAAGCATTGGCACATGCTGGGAATAGCTCTACCGGGTGTGGCCCCAAAACAATATGCAGTGGCAGGGAGGAGAGATAGCATAAGTGTAGAGCACATGCTCGAAGGTGGAAAGCCAGCCTAGCATGCCATCCCCCCCAACACCTTTGTTCGACCTTGGACCCAAACACCTGAGTCCAGCATCACTAGGAGGCGCCCCAAACCCCAGAGTATCCCAGCACTGATGGGGGGAAAGCACATCCTTGCTGTCATAAACTTAGTTTCAATTCTCAGGCCAGAGAATATAATACAGTGGGTAGAGCACTGGTCTTGCCCATAATTGACCTAGGTTTGAATCTGACACTGCATACACTCCCTTAGCCATACCAGGAGTTATCCCTGAGCACAGATCCAGGAGTACAGCAGCACAGCAGAGTATAACACCCCCACTTTCCCCCCAAAAAAACCTATTTCATGGAGTCTGCTGATCTTCAAAGAACTTGTAGCTTCATGAGGTCAAAGTGTGGAGGCGCCATGAACCCCATCTGGACCAGAACCCTGTCTGGACTCACAACCCCTTGTCATTCAGATCCATACACAGGGATTCCTTTACATATGGACCACGGAAATCAGACCTAGTGTCCCTCTGAAATAGCTCACATTCCTATCAAATAACTTTCCCTCCAGCAGAAGAGAAAAGGGCTGAAGACCGAACAACTAACTCTGTAGTTCTTTGGGATGATTGCTGACTTAGAGCACTGATCAAGGGATTGATGTGGTACCAGAAATTGTCATCTGTCTTTGGAGGGAGGACTAGAGAGAAAATCAAGTCCAAAAATATGAGTAGTCCCTTAGAGATAGTCATCATTCCGCACGAAAAACAGATAATAACCTCTGCTGCTGATTTAAAAACAGTGACAAAATGCATCCTCTGTCCTGGACCCTGTTGTAAGGATTTTATGTTGATTCATTCAATCCTCTAATCAACTTCATGAAAATACATACTGGTTGGGGCCAGGGAGCACAGCGGATAAGCCTTGCTTGGCACGTGGCCAATCCAGGTTCAATTCCTAGCAATGGTCCCCCAGGCACAGCCAGGAATGAGTGCTGAGCTAGGAGTAAGCGCAACCTGAGTATAGCTGATTGTGGCCAAAAAATGAAAATACTGTTGTCTCCATTTAAAATTTTTTTTTGATTATTTTTGTTTGTTCTTTTGGGGGGCCAGGGCTGGAGCGACAGCACAGTGGTAGGGCGTTCACCTTACAAGCGGCCAACATGGCCGACCCGAGTTCGATTCCTCTGCCCCTCTTGGAGAGCCCGGCAAGCTACCGAGAGTATCTCGCCTGCACGGCAGAGCCTGGCAAGCTCCCCGTGATGTATTCGATATGCCAAACACAGTAACAACAAAGTCTCCAATGGAGACGTTACTGGGCCCGCTTGAGCAAATCGACGATCAACGGGAGGGCCTTTACCTTTTTGGGGGGGCCACCGCTGGCAGTGCTCAGGGCTTCTTCTTGGCTCTACATGCAGAGTTCACTCCTAATGGTGCTCAGGCTACCATATGTAGTGATAGGGATCAAACTTAGGTCGGCCACATGCAAGGCAAGTGCCCTACCCGCTGTACTAAATCTCTGACCCCGTCACCATTTTATGGGTAAGAAAATACAGCTTTCCAAAAAGCTCATGGAAGCCAACATGAGCTTTTTTCCATTGAGCTACTCTTCCTTTTCAATAGAGTTCCAGAATTAGTAACTCATTTCTTCATTCATTCAATAAATAGTTGTTGAGGACCTTTAATTGCAGGTTCTAAGTAGAGAGCCACCATAAGGCTCCTCTGGAGTTGCCCCCAAGGGACTCCAAACGTCCCTGGGGCCTCACTGGCCATGACTTTGTTGTCTCTAGTCTCTATTCTAATTTCCAGTAACTGCCATCCGCATAACTGGGCTGCGGAATACCAGTCAAGCACAGACCTCCTCTCCATCCAGATGACAGTAATTGCAAGCGAGGAATGGAGTTGGGCCCTGCGAGTAGGACCTGGGAAGCCAGAGGAGCCACTCACCCATTGCCCTTGAGTGTCCATCCTGTGGCCACTGTGGGTCTTCAGCAGATGAGTCCCTGCCTGTCCAACCAGATAGCAATCCTTTTATTGTCCACCTCTTGATCGCACTTAGCAGCCGCAAGGGCAAAGAAGAGTGCTAAGCGCTGTGTCAGCAGAGCCTCTTCAGTCCTCAGGATCGCCCCCACCAGATAATCATCATTACTTTCCACCTCTCACTGACAGTGGAATAACTTACCAAAACAAGACAAGTCTCATCTGAACCTGCTGTCAGAGAATTTAATGTCTTAAATTCAAGGCATTCGGTTATTGTTTAGTCCACAGGTGAGAATCATGTAAATAGGGGAGTCAGCCTTTGGATGGGGGCTGCAGGAAGAAGGCATGGTTGGAAGGGAACCCCAGCTGGACACAGAGAAACACTGATTCAGTTCCAGTGAGTTGCAGCTATGTGCCAGGCACTGCCCTGGAGGTTACTCTGAGCAGTCAGAAAGAATCCCTACTTAGACAGAGCTACTGGGCAGTGAGGAGAGAGACAGTGGTCATATAAATAACCAAGATAATTTCCTGTACCGGTATGTACGAAGAAATGGGGCAGAGTAGTTGTGCATGGGATGCCAGGGCTGGTGTGCAGTTGATCCAGATGGCATGGTCAGGGAAAACCTCAGAAGTTGACTTCTGAGCTGATGAGACCTTAGTGCTGCAAAGCTGCCAACTGTGCAAAGTGTTCAGGAGACTGGACAGAGAGAAGGGCAGATGCGAGGAAAGCACTGAGGATTTGTGTGCTGAAGAACCAGAAGCAGGCAGTGTCATAGAGAGAAGAGTAAAGTAACTTCTGCAGATAGCAGGGTCAAACTACCCCAGGATTTGAAGAAGTTTGAATGTAAGAGGAAGCAGTTCTTGGGTGCTAAGGAAGTGAATGACAAAATCCGAAATACCTGTTTGAAAGACTAATCCAGCTCACAGGTGCTCCAGCATGGATCTGGAATATCTGTATCCTACCATCATAAAACTGTCCTGTCTTGCTTTTAAAAGTCCCATCTTGGGCCAGAGCCAAAATACAGTGGGTAGGGCATTTGCCTTGCACGCAGCCGACCCAGCTTCAATCTCTGGCATCCCATATGGTCCCCCAGGCAGAGCCAGGAGCCCTGAACATCGCCAGGTGTTGTCCAAAAACTAAAAACTAAAATAAAAGCTCCATCTTATTGCATCTCAGGGTCTTCTAGTCAGGAGCACCGACTCTACCCTTTCCTGCAGAATACCTGCTGAACTGGTTCCATCCTTCCCTCCACTCCCAACACATACACACACACACACACACACACAGTTCTCCAAACACATGCACTGTGCTTGGCCCTGCCCCACAGTCCTTGAATTGCATCTCAGGGATTTGTCTTCACCTTGGGACTTGAGTTAGGTCCTCTAGAGCTATCTCAGGGGATGCATATCTGGGCCTCCTGTGTGCTTTGCATTATTAAGAGCTAACCAAGACTTTTTTGGTTGTTCGAACATCTGGTGCTCAGGGATCAGTCCTGGCAGGGCTCAGGAGACCATACATGGTGCTGGAGATTCAACCCAGGTCAGCCACATTCAAGGCAAGTGTCCTACCCCCTATACTATCACTCCAGCCTCTGAAGGGTTTATTTCCCAAGATTTTTCAAAACAGTTATCTACATCATCCTCATTACCGCCACCACCTCCATCATCATCACCATCAGTCATTATTGCTGCCACATTCAAAATACTTGGGGACCTGGGGCCACTCCAGGTAATGTTTGGTCCAGCACTGTGAGCCTGATGGCTCAGTGCTGGGAGCCACCAGAACTATGCTAGGTGTTCTGCAACTTGAGTTGCAGAACACCTGACCCTATTATTACTGTTTTCAATTGTGGGACCCATAGCCAGTGTTCTGGGGAGATGAAGGGCCATGCAGTGCAAGGAATCAAACCCAGGACCTCCTTCATGCAAACACGCTAACACCTGAGCCACATGCCTGAGATTTTTTTTGGGGGGGTGAGGGGTTGTGGAGGGAGATACCCAGTGATGCTCAGGGCTTACTCCTGGCCCATCTTTGGCTTCTAAAAATGTAAATTTGGCCCGGAGTGATAGTACAGCTACAGGGGGCCTGACTTGAGTCCCAAGGTAAAGACAAACCTGTGAGATGCTGCTCAAGGACTGTGTGGGATGGGGCCAAGCACAGCACATGTGTTTGCTCAGTAATTCTTGGGCATCGCCAGGTGAGACCCCAAAAGCCAAAAAAATTTAAATGTAAATTTGGACTGAAGAGATAGTGTAGGGGTTAAGGCACTTGTCTTGGATGAGCCCAACTCCAGCTCAGTCCTCAGTACCATATGATCTCCCAAGCACTGCCGGAGTGATCCCTGACCACAGAATCAGGAGTAAAGCCTGAACACCAATAGGTGTGGCCCAAAATTTCCCCTAAACCCTGTCCTCCCCCAAACGTATATAAAGCAAACACTGGGAATAATAAAATATATGATCTTGGGCATACCACAACCAAGTATGTAGGAACACAGCTAAAGTTCAACTTGGGCTCAGGGATCACTTGGTGACCAGGTGCCACCTTACAGTGTGAAACTGAGAGTTCAGTCCTCAGCATCCTCTCACATGCTGAGCGTGGTCCTGGTGACACCAGTCCAGCAATGCAACCAAGATTGGTGCAAGCACCATCTGATGTAGTAGGCACTGGAACCAGGCTTGTGACCCTCAGCAGCCCCTGCAAACAGGACTTTAAGCATCACCGCAAAGGACTGCACCCTGGAGGTGGGGGTGGGGAGCACATTTACTAAGTGTGTTGCCACAACAGCAAAAAGGGAAGTGAAGAGGAATGGAAGATGTTATAAAGCAGGCCACAACGCCTGCTCATCACAGCCCAGCAAAGGGAAGAAAAGGAGAAATCATTGTTCTGTTTTGTTTTGTTTTTATTTTTCAGGTGAGCATTGGGGTCAAAGAAATAATACAGTGGTTAAGGTGCTTGCCTTCCATCCCTCTCACCCAGGTTCAATCCCCAATACCATATATGGTCCCCTGACCCCACTTCTGGGCACAGAGCCAGGAGTAGCCTTTGAGTACAGCTGAGTGTGGTACCCCAAATCCCCCACATAGAAAATATATTAAAATATGGGCCGGAGAAATAGTACAGCAGATCAGGCACTTTTCTTGCACGAGGTTGACTCAAGATTGATCTCTGGCATCCCATGTGACTTCCCTTAGAACTGCCAGGAGTGCTTCCTGATGCAGAGCCAGGAGCAACCTCTGAGCATTGATGGGTGTAGCTCAAAAACCAAAAACAAAAGTAAAAGATGAGGGGCCAGAGTGATAGTCCAGAGAGGAGGGTGTTTGCCTTATATGTTGGCAATCTGGGTTCGATTCCCAACATTCCACATGGTCCCCCAAGCATTGCCAGGAGTAGTTTCTGAGTACAGAGCCAGGAATAACTCCTGAGTATTCACCAGGTGTGACCCAAAAAGCAAAAAAAGGAAAAGTAAAAGATGAACTTTAGGAACAAGGAACAGCTTGATATCCTGAGCACATGCTTTGTATGCAGGAGGCCTGGATTTGATCTTCATCACCATGTAGACCCCCCAACACTTCCGGGAGCCCCTTAACACAGCCAGGTGTGGCTCCCAAAACAGAAAACAAAAAAAATAAATTTGAAGTTGGAATGCACCATGCACTTGTCTGAAACCCTTGCGTGCTCTGTTTTGTCAATGTTTCTGTTGGGGGGTTTCATTTTCTCTGTTGGAGTCAGAATGGAAGCAGGGGCTACATGACTGTCCGCTGGGCCCTGTTCCGTCATCATTTCAGGGGGTCCCCTGCATGAATTCGAAGGCCCCCTTTTAGTACATTCTGATTTATTAATGTAAATAAATACATTTCTTATAAGATAAAGAATACAAACCTTCTGTATTTGACTCAGTGAACTTCACATATGTATATATTCATCTCACTCAGGTCAAACTAGAGAACATTTCCAAGGCTCAAACAACTCCTCTGCCATTCAGTTCAGCCACAGAAATACACCCTCTTTTTGCCTTCTTGCCCATAGATTAGTTCTTCCTTCCCTCCGTTTTTTTTTTTAAGCTTTTTGGACCTTACATAGCAGTGCTCAAGGCTTACTCCCAGCTCTGTGCTCAGGGATCACTCTTGGGGGGTTCAGGGGACCCTAGGTGGTGCCAGGGTCAGTGGCATGCAAAGCAAACGCCCTAACCACTATACTGTTGCAGTTGCCCAGTTATGCCCTTTTGAACTTTAATGTGCATCAGCTTTTTTTTTTTCTTCTTTTTGGGTCACACCCAGCGATGCACAGGGGTTACTTCTGGCTCTGCACTCAGGAATTACCCCTGGCGGTGCTTAGGGAACCATATGGGATGCTGGGCATCGTACCTGGGTCGGCCACGTGCAAGGCGAATGTCCTACACGCTGTGCTGTCACTCCAACCCTGTGTGTCTACTTTTGTGGAGAGTTTCTGTGTTCTGCCTTACATCAGCGAAAATGAGGGCATGAGTAGCGAAGTTCGTTCTGTTTCAGTGGAGGACTGTAGCCCAGTTTGCTTCACTGTTTAACCTGGGGTTGTGTTGCAGTGTCTAGGGTCATGCACACATGGTGCTGCCAGGGCTTGCGCACAGGTTCCCCTGCCCTGAAGATCACACGTGGGACACAGGCATGGCCTCAGGAATGATGTTTCCAGCTGTGCTGCAGAAAGCTGCTCTGTGTGGCTCAGTGAACGCTGCTGGGTGGATACCCTACCCTTCACTTGCTGAGGCCGAGACCAAACTGTCAGCTTTGGAAAGTGGTTTTTCCCTCCTACTCCCAACCCCCCACCCCCTCCCCAAGGAGCCCTCTGCCCCAGGCTCAGGGGCGATCTGCCTGCTGTGGTGTGTGGGGCTGTTTCCTGGTGCACCTTCATATACCTGTCTCCCAGCTTCCTCAAGCTCTCAGCGTGTCCTGGGCACTCCTCACACACCCTCTGTTTGCAGGGGACTGTGGCTCCAGCTTCTGTCTCACAGTTCTGCCCTGCCCGTTTTTCTCACAGGTGGTTTTTCCCCATCATTGGCCACATGGGTATCTGCACTTCCACAGGCATCATTAGGGACTTCGCTGGCCCCTACTTTGTCTCGGTGAGTTACCATCCTTCACCTGACCAGAAGGCTTATTTTTTCAAGGGGAAAGGCCACCCACAGTGGTGCTGGGGGGACCCTATAGAGTCAGGGATCAAACTCGGGGCTCCTACATGTAAAGCATGTGGTCCCCTTTAAACAGTCTTTGGGAGGTTTCGAAGACTTCTGTGGAGAGCTGTCAGCTTCTCATGACAAAGGCCCGTCTCTGGCCAGGCCTTTGGTGGGAGAGCCTTTGAAGCTCGGCTCATGTCTTGTCAGTTGTCCTGATGAACCCTGTTTAACTCCACGCCCCAGATCCCCTGTGTGGGCCAGTAGTTCAGAGGGGCATTTTGTACCCACAAAAGAAAAGGCTGCCCATGATGAGGTCAGAGACTGACCGTAAAGCCTGGAGCAAATGTGCCCCAGAGGCGAGGGAATGACCACAACTCCCTTGAGGGACCGTCACAGCACAGGACGGTCACCACTGCACGCTGAGTCTTTGGTCTCTGACTTTGTCCTGCAACACAACTCTGGTTGCCACTTCTGATCCTGTGCCAGTCTCGGGCAGGACCCTGAGCCCACCTTTGCCCACAAGTTCCCACATGGCCCCGTTGACCTGTGTCTTTCAGACCACTGCATACCCCACTGACCTCTGCTCTTGTCCCTCAACAGGAAGACAACATGGCCTTTGGGAAACCAGCCAAGTAAGTGATGTGGCGAGCCCTCAGGCTGTTTCCTCCTGCCCAGAGCAACAGGAGCTCACTCCCTGGCATGGGAGCAGGGAGGGCCAGCCGGGCTCCCTGGGGCGCACCCCACCTCCTGCAGTCCCTGGCCTGTCCTTGGCCCACGCTCCATTCCTGCCTCCGCTCTCCAGGTGCTCATTGGAAGCTGAGCAAAGGGATGGGCCTTGTTGAGGAAGTGGCCGGCCTGGCCTTGCCCCCTAGTGCCTCAGCCAGAAACCTTGCCTGCCCTGGGAGGGAGCAGCCACTTAAGGAGGCTTTGTTTGGAACTCTGGGGAAGTTCTGCTTGGAGAGAAGAAAGGCAGTTCAAGCTGTCCCAAAGCGAATGCTGGCTCCCTTGGGATGTTCAGTTTTCATATTTTTCTTTCCCGAGAGTCTGGTGGCCTGCCTTAGTCACCTTCGTGTTGTCACAGACTCAGAACAGTTTCTCTCTCTGAGTCTGCATCCCGGAGCAGGGCAGCCTGGGATGGCTCCCCTTCCCCTGCTGACCTCCTCAGGCAGTGGACACCAGGCCAAGGGCCTTTGACTAAAATGTCTGCTGTCAAGCTGCTTTCCAAGGACAGTTGCGTGGGGTGGGTGGGGGGAGTCGTCTATAGGGGCCTTCCCAGCAAAGTCTAGGGATCACTCCTGGGGATCCACAGTCTGGCCTTGATGATTGGGTCCTCAGTTCCGGCAGAGCAGTGCTTCTTGCAGGCATACACTCCACCCTTTGAGCTGTCCTCCCCTCTTAGAGGAGAGTTTGTTTCAAGGTCAGTGATTTCTGGGGAGGAACCCCTGTAGGCCTGGTGTCCCGGTACTGCACACCACAGCCAGGAGGCGCTCAGCCCATTTCAGCCTGAGAACTCTCACTCCCCCCTTGCTGGGGCCACCAGGGCGCAAGGAGGTTTCCTCCACCTGCTCAGCTCTGTGCTGAAATTCCACTCCCCACACGGACCCAGAGTGATGAATAAAACCCCCAGGGCACCAGCAAGTTCCCCAGAAAGTGACTCCCTCTTTCTCCTTATCCAGTGTCCTGTCCCCATTCTTCCTATGAGTCCCACACCAGTGCCCTCACAGTTGTCATAACTGCCCCCTCTGCCTGGAATGCCCACTCCCATTCTGCACCAGCCTCACTTCTGATCTCCAACCTGGATTTAGTGGTGACCCCTGAAAGCCTCATACTCCCCCCAGCGGGGCTTGTCAGCTCGTTCCCCGGGGGGCATTGGTGTTGGTCTTCTGCAGGCTATTGTCCCTGTAGCCCCCCGCACAGGACATCCTGCCCAGAGCAGGCGTCTGGGGACCTTTGTGACGCTCACAGTGCAGGGAGAGCTCCAGTGCTAGAACACCCTCTCCCCTCAGGTACTGGAAGCTGGACCCTGCACAGGTCTACGCCAGCGGGCCCAATGCGTGGGACACGGCCGTGCATGATGCCTCGGAGGAGTACAAGCACCGCATGGTAGGTGGGGCGCGCCTGATGTGGGCACCGGGCGGAGGGGCCCCGTCACCCAGCTTTACCTTGCTCTGCCTGCGTCTCCAGCACAGTCTCTGCTGTGACAACTGTCACTCCCACGTGGCACTGGCCCTGAACCTGATGCGCTACAACAACAGCACTAACTGGAACATGGTGACACTCTGCTTCTTCTGCCTGCTCTATGGGAAGTACATCAGGTGAGCTGCCCACCCACCCACTGCCCACAGGCCTCTTCCGCCAAACCTCCCTCAGGGCCATTTCCAGAGTTCTTCAGCCAACAGGGACCAAGCAGATGCTGGCTGGAGCCATGCTGGTTCTAGAACAACTAGCTGAGCTCCTGGTGGAGGATGAGGTGGCTCAAGTCCCTCTGGGTCCCAGCCCAGCTCTGTCACCTGCTCACTGTGAGTTATGGGGAACTATTTTGGCCTCTCTTAAGCTATATCTGTCTTTGGTAAAATGGGAGTGAGAACACTAGTTCCCTGGGAGGCAAGGGGTGTGCGGAGAACCTTGTATTCAGGAAATGAACACGCATCACCCCACCCCACCCCAACCTTCCTGCAAACTCCCAGAGAGGCAGCACTCTGGGCAGGGAGGCGTGTGGGAACCCAGGACCTTTGAAGTCACAGCCGCATAGCCTGTGAGTTGAAAGGCAGGAGTTCTGAATCACAGGGACGGTTGGGAATGCAGCTCAGTGGCACCACACTAGCCTAGTGTGTATGAAGCCCTCGGTTCCATTCCCAGCACTGCAAAAAAAAGACTCACTGACAATTCACAGCCAAGGTTTGAGTGACTCGGGCGCTTGGGAGCCAGCTCTCACCGGGCTCTCTTTAATGACACACAGCAGGAAAGAGCTGCGGAAGGTCACACTGAATCCAGAAGGCCTTTAGAGGTGCCCTGAGAAGACTGTAGCTGGCCATGCAGAGCCTGCAGCAGCCCAGCGGGGTTCAGCTGGGTCTGACACAGGCTGGTTTCAGCCTCCGCCCACTCAGGGCAGGGGGCGCTCCTGCTCTTCAGGCCCAGACCAGTTCCTGGTCCACTCACCAGAGTCCACCACTAGAGACAGGTGGTTTGGGAAGAGCCCATAAGATCCAGAAGCTGATCCAGAAAGCGCCACGTCCAGGTCTCTTGTGCCTCTCCTTATCAAATCTCCACCAGGAACCTGCAGCAGCCCCACCCAAGGCCCTGACTGTCACTTCTGCACACTGAAGGCCAGGCCTGGCCCAGGCCTTTGGCTGACCAGGTTTGGGGGGTGAGGACTTGTTCCAGGTGCTTCCTTTGTGCAGATCCCCATCTGGGTCTGCAGCTGAGGGGCGCCTCTGTCCACCCACGGGCCCCCACCATCCCCTCCTATCCTCTCTGGCAGCTTCGGAGCCTTCGTGAAGACCTGGCTGCCCTTCGTCCTCCTCCTCGGCATCATCCTGACAGTGAGCCTAGTCTTTAACCTGCGGTGATAGCAGCCTGGGACCACAACCCACGGGGAGCCTGAGGAAGCAGAGGTCACCTCTTTCAGTTCCAGAGTCTCTCTGCTCACCCAAAAGGCGGGACAGGCCTGCTGGTTTGACCCTGGGGTCTGGGTTAGTCACGGAGTAAAGGCTGAGGAGGAGCTGGGGCTGAGGGGTGTTTGTTTACCATGTCTCCTGTTTACTCAGAATACCCCTGCCCTCCCCTGCCCTCCTTGAGGCACCCTCTCTGTTCCTCTTTGAGGCACCCCAGCCTCCCCCTGTAGATCTTGAACCACTGCGTGCCGGGCCTCCACCTCTGCCCAGTGCCTGGGGGGCAGGGGACACCATGGCCAGCACTGGACGTAGAGCCTGACTTTCCAGGGTGGGTGCAGAGATAATCTCAGAAGATTTTGGAACTCAGCTGCCCCGGGGGCTGACAGGGTCCAGCTTTCGAAGGTTTGCCAGTCTCTGCCTGCGGATAGTTTGCACCCCATCTTTTGGTGTCCTCATGCACTTGAGCCAATCTCCACCCAAATCACCTGGTTTGGGACCGGGGCTCCCGACAGCCAGGCTGGTGAAATGACGCTGACCGTGCCCAGACACACCTCTGTGACTGGATCCGTTCTGGGTGCAGTGTGTGGTTTTTGCACCTTGCAGGGAGCTGCTCTTCCCACCTTCCACACCCCCTTCTCTCCAAGTTGCAGAAGAGACCTGTGCTCCCCCGCCCCCCACCCCCAGGCTCCATGATCCCTCTGTGGGGACTCCCTGGCACGGCAATAAAGAGTTTGCACTTGAAACACTGCCTTGGCCCTGTTTTCTCCCTCTGTGACCTCTTTGCCCTTCAGCTCCTTTCTTTTCAGGGTTCCAGGCACCTGCACTCTGGTGAGGGCTGTTCGCTGTTCCACCACTGAATCCTTCTAGTGCTCCCTGTGGGGGGTGGGGCGGGGGGCAGGACCTGGCAGAAGAGTCTGGAAGCCATCCTACTGACGCTATGGCCTGTGGCGCTTAGGCAAACCCCATCGCCTGCCATGTCACCTGTTACATGGCCAAGATCCTCGTGCTCCCGATACGCCTCAACTTCCCAGTGACTGCAGGACCTCCCCAGTTCCTGGCTCCCCACACACCCTCCACAGCCTACACCCATGTCTGCCCTGCTTCTCATGTGTTGAGTTGGGACCTACTTGCTTTCAAAGGCCACTCACAGCCAAGTGTCCTTCCTGACCCTGCCTGTGGTGTTTGTCACTTGAGTTTAACTAGCCCAGGAGTTGCTGTCTGAGTCCCAAAGGTTCTTAGTGTCCAGCCTGAGGAACCCAGGGTCTGTCTGCTCATCCCAGGCCTGAGATTTCTCCCAGGCAACCCAGAGGTGATCCCTCCCATTTGAGAGCAATTCCATTTTTAGAAATACATTGTACATTACTGGGCACATCAGAATTGGTGAGTGATTCCAGGATAGAGGATAACCACGGCAAAGTGAAGATGCAGAAAGGTGCATGCATTGTATGCAGGAGGTCTGGGTGTATCCCCTGTATCACATGGTTCTCCCATATACCACTGGGAGTAACCCCCGAGTACTACCATTTATGGTGCAGAAACAGTCTTCAGGCATATTTCCTGCCCAACAGGGCCTTAGCCTGGGAGACAGTACACACAGTGAAAGTCCCCACATGGCTCTTGAAACACAAGTCTACTGTCATCCCACAGCCCTAAGGGCACTGTCACCCCCATCTTCAGGAGAAAGCAGAGAAGCAGTGGTTTGCTCATTGTCATGTCCAAGCCATGTTTAAACCCAGCCCCTGATCCTAGAAGCCCCCAAATACCAGATGGCCTCACTAGGCACAGAAAGAAAAGTGGGGAGAGGCTGGTTTGAAAGATGGGGTGCTGTGACCAAAAAAGCAGGAAGAAGGGGCTGGAGTGATAGTACAGCGGGTAGGGCATTTACCTTGCGCGCAGCCGACCCAGGTTCTGTTCCCAGCTTCCCATATATATGGTTCCCCAAGCACTGCCAGGAGTAATTCCTGAGTGTAGAGCCAGGAGTAATCCCTGAGCATCACTGGCTATGACCCCTCCCCACCAAAAAAAAAAAAAAAAAAAAGAATGGATGCAGGAGGCCAGTCAAACTGGAAACACTCCATAGGAGGCTATACGGTTGTCCTGGTTTGATTAAGGGGCCTTTGAGGCATATAGAGCTGCTCCAAGGACCCAGGGACTATGTGACAGATCTGAGAGAGAGGGAGGGGGAGAGAGAGAGAGAGAGAGAGATGCACACGTACGCACTTCAGGGCCTCACCCATGTGAGGCAGGTGCTTTCTTTACCACTGAGCCACATTCCAGCCCCAGAGCCAGAAATTTAACCCGTCTACAGGCCTCTAAGCAGTGGGAGTCGCCTGAGATTGGGACAAGCTCAGACATCACCCCTATATTGATGGGACTGGAGGCAGGGCTGGAGGAGGGCCCTAAGAATGTGGGAAGCAGGGTCAGTCCCAGCTCTACTGTGGGGGTGCAGAGGGTGGATTGAGGGGTGGGCAGAGTATAGACTGACTTGAGGTGAAAATCTGTTCCATGGAAGTGTGGAAGGAAGGGAGGCGCGGCTGGTTAGGAGCAGAGGTGGGAATGGGTTTTTCTTTCAAAGCTGAAGTTGGTAAATAAAGAGGGGTGGGGGGAGAGGGTACTGGAAATACCTTCCAACAGCTTTGCAGGCACTCACTTGAGGGGCTTTGTCTGCAGGCCAGATGAGGGAGGAGGAAGCTTCCAGGCACTGGGCTGGGACAGACCTGCCCAGAGAGAGCCAGGGGGATCACAAAAAAGCCCTGGAGAGAGAAGGGACCAGGACAGGGCTGCATCCACGGAGTGCATCTGAAAATAAGGTCTCCAGTTGGGGGACTCAGGACAGAATGGTGGGAGGGCCATGTGGTGCGGCCTCCCTCCACCCTGGGGGCCACTGAGGGTGACCTCACAGCATCCCTCCCATAGTGCACATGGTGGAAGGCACCTAAACTACGGTAAAAATATGAAAACACTCCCACAAATAATGCATGGGAAGCCTGGGGCTGGGGCCACGTTCCCATGCTCAGAGCAACTGAAACTCTCAGAAACTGGTCTGAGTTCCAGAAATGAAGGCAGGAGGAGTGGAGATTCCTGGTCACCTCCTCTCTGGAGTATTGTGAGCTACCAGGGCTGGAAGCTGACTGTGGGCCTTGGGGAAGCTTGGGTGTGGCCTCTTCATGATTCCAAAGCAAAGGTGACCCACGACCAGTGCTCTGCTGAGCACAGGCAGGACCAGAGATCAGTACAAAGGTTCCTAATAGAAGAAGATGGAGCACCAGAATACAGTTGGGGTCAGGATGCAGCTGTGGCCCCTGGCCAGTCCCTCCCTGGAGGTCCTTAAGGGGTGGAAGTGGACTGGGGAGGAGAAAGGACAGTGTGTGCCTCCTAGGTACAGCCAGGCCCTGGCTGTGCCCGTCCACTCCTCAGAGCCCCATGGTCAGAAGGGACCAGGACAGGGCTGCATCCACAGGGGCACAGTCTGGGTCTCCATGGGGAGGGCAGGAACTTAAGCTGTCGCCTGCCCCTTCCTGCCCCTTTCACACCCTGGGCCAGGTCTGTCGCTGCTTCCGGCCAGCAGTGGGCATCGCAGCCTTTTCTCTGGTGGGCACAGGTGGACTCTGAGGTCGCCACTGCAGCTGCAGAGGGTCAGGGTGAGTCTGCGGAGAGACTGGCCTGACGGGCAGCACCCCACCACCAGTCATGCTGTGGGTGCTGAGAGGTTCGCAGGCGTGCCCAAGCCGGGAGTCCAGGCCCGGTTTTGCATGAGGCCTCGCCAAAAGGTGTTTCCTCCTCCAGGGGCAGCCGGGCCCCAGCGGCAGCTGCGCCGGTTGAGTCAGCTTTAGTCCCACTCTGCTCGCCTCCCGCTCTGAAACTCTGCTGTCAGGGGAGCCAGTCACCCCTCGAAGGTGCTCCCTCCATACTGGACCCCCACAGGTAACACACCTCGGGGCAGCCTTAGGGTCCCCTGCCTCTTCCAGGGAAGGTACTGCCACCTGGTATTTTGAGCGCCCTCTGGCACTGGGGGTTGGGGTGGCGGCAGGAGTGTCAAGGACTGGAGCAGACCTGCAGAGGGTCCCTCTGTGGCTTCTCGGAGCTGTGCCCTGGCTGGAACGGAGCAGGTGACCCCAATAGAATCTGCAGCTGCTGATGGGGACCCCGGGCTCAGAGGTCGCCAGACCTGCAGGACCAGGGTAGGTCAGATCTGCACTGACCTTGCTTGACAAGACACCCACCCTCAGGGTACAGCTCATCACACCCACTGCACCACCACCCCTAGAAAGTCACCGACACAGACCCAGTCCACAACAGCCTGTGACAGGACCACAGTGACACTGCACCCGGGCCCCACAGCTGTGCACCCACAGGCACCTCGGGCACAGAATAGATAGAGACCCTGCACCCCAACCCCAAACTGTTCACCACCAGAGCCCTGGGGCACAGTCCAGGACTTATTGTTGCCGTGGGACCTACAGGTGCCCAGGTTCCTTGGGCGGACAGTAAGACTTGCCGGACCTCCCTATCTCTTGCCTTCTAGTACAGCAGGGCTGGGGAGAGTGTGTGTGTGTGTGTGTGTGTGTGTGTGTGTGTGTGTGTGTGTGCGTGTGTGTGTGTGTGTGTGTGTGTGTGTGTGTGTCGGAGGGTGAGGTCAGAAGGTGCTGGAGCCCCACCTGCCCTGCCCCTGGTCAGTCATGCCCCCTGCCTGCCACGTCCTCATGCCCCTCAGCAGTAGGCAAGCTTTTCCTTCCGGAGTCACCACAATACCAAGCCAGCCTCCACCACCAGCAGCCCAGCCAGGTGACCCAGGTGACTGGCCACAGCAGAGGGGTTTGCGGGCTCTGTACAGGAGGGCAGGGTTGGTAGCAAAGGCCCCACTGGGAGTGGGCTCTGCGGTTACTTCAAGCGGAGGAAGTTGGAGTGTGGGCTGAAGCGGAGGTTGCCTCAAACAGGAAGATCTAATGGGCCAAGGCAGGGTAGAGGTGAGGGGTGAAGGGAAGGACCTAGGAGGTCCCCAGGCAGCAGGTACGTGTGCAAGCCTGTGTCTACAGTGCACGTGTGTGCTTTTATATGTGTGCTGGTGGGCTTTTGCATGTAACCAGTCTGTCGCCAACCATCTGTTGTAAGCTGCAGGCTGACACGGGGTGTCTCTCCTCTCCAGGAGCTCATGGTGTGGGTGTGCCATGCGGGTGTGATCTGTCTTTGTTCCAGCCTTGTACTTGTCCTGATGACCCCATCTTCTCTCCTTTTGCATGCACATGCTAGTGGCCAGGGCAAGGGATATTGTCAGCACACAGCTGACCTGGGTTTGATCCCCTGAGCATGGCCAGGAGTGATTTCTGAATACAAAACTGGGAGTAAGACCTGAGCACTACCAGCTGTGTCCTGAAAACAAAAACAAAACAAAACAAAAATTGTGTAGGGAGGTGTTGGGTTTAAGACTATGCTCAGTGAGGCCAGGAGGGAGCTCCAAGAACTGGAGCACAGGTGAGGTTGGGGTTCCATCCAGAGCACTGCAAGACTCCCTGGGCACCACCGGGAGTGACCGTAAGCACTGCTGGGTGTAACCCAAAAACTGAAGAGAAAAGAAAAAGAACATGTTGGGTTAGTCTCCTAGTTTGGGTTGGGGCTGGGCCTCTGTTTCATAGGCTTCCCAGGCAGGCTCTGCAGGAATCAGCATGTGTGCATGGCAGGTGTCTGCTCCACCTTGGAAAGCTGGTTTCAGTGTGCCCTGTGCACCCCTGAGCATGTTTCTGGACCAGTATCTGAATGTGTCCATGACGCATCTCACACCACCTCAGTCTTCCCTGGGGCTGTACCTGGCCCCTCGGTTGAGCGTATATTTAAGCAGGTTTTTTGCTTTTTTTTTTTTTATCTTGTTGCATTTTGGGTTACTTCCTGCTCTGTGCTGAGTAGGTGGAGTGGGCATTGGTAGGGGCGTGCCTTCATGAGGGTGACAACTAGAGGTGTAAATCATGCATATTAGCTTTTTTCCAGCCCCATTTGGGTCATTTTTAAAAGGTCAGCCAGGGACCAGAGAGATAGCACAGAAGTTAAAGTGCTTACCTGTAGGCCGCTGATCCTGGTCCCCCAAGCACTGCCAGGAATGACCCAAGTACAGAGCTGGGAATAAACCCTGAGCACAGCCGGCATGGGCCCCACAAATGACAGTTCCAAGACCTTCTCTGCATTTGGATAGGGCTTGACCTGTCCCTTGGTCTGTCCACAGGGAACCAGGTGTGCCCAGCCGGGGCACTGCCCCAGCTAATGCCCCAGAGCGCCCACATATCTCAAGAGGGGCTCTGGGCCCTGCCCTGCCCCCTCATGGCGCACGAGTTGGAGCCTGAGGCCGCCGGGCTATTGGACCTCAGTTTCCTGACGGAGGAAGAGCAGGAGGCGATTGCAGAGGTCCTGAAGAGAGACGCGCACCTGCGCCAGCGGGAGGAAGGCCGTGTAAGGTGCGGCAGGGCGGGCAGTCCTGACCGAGGCGTTGAACCACTTTCCTGGCCCCCCACCCCAAGCCCACCGACATGACATGCTGCCTGACAACACCTGTGAAGAGGCTTTGCCTCTTCTTCCCCTGTGCTTGGCGCATTACCTGTGTTAGATGACTCTACCAGCTCCCTTCCCAGCCTCCTTTCTGCAGTCTTGAACCCTCAGGGCCACCGTAGCTCAGTTGGGGCTCTCAGACCTGTCCTCCTGTCAGATACAGCCTCTCCACCTCACTTTCCAGGAGAACTGCCACCCCAATGCATGCACAGTGTCCACTCAGCCCCGGGGCTCCCGGCACCCCCTCACCTCTGTGCTGTCCCTCCCCTGGGGCCACACAGTGGCAGAGGAGCCTGGGTGCACCAACTATGTCTGGAGACATTCTGACAGGCACCTCCTGGTCCTGACACCCTCACACCCTGCCTCACTCTCTCCATCTGTCAAATGGGGCACTGCCTCATAGAATGAGATCAGATGATGTGGAGAAGCTTCTCAAGAGAGATTCATCCAGACAGAGGTGATGTAATTATTTGATGATAATTATAATTAATAATTTTTTTCTACCTGGAGAACTTCTATTTGTCCTTAAAGAAGCAATTCAGGGTTGGTGGAGATATTATAGTGGGTAGGGTACTTGTTCTGCACACAACCAATCTAGGTTCAATCCTCAGCATCCCATATTATCCCCTGAGCCTGCCAGAGGTGATCCCGGAGAGCAGAGCCAGCAGTAATCCTGAGCACCACCAGGTGTGTCCCCCTCCTCCACCAAAAGAAGAAACAATTCAAAGGCAGAGAGATAACTCAAGGGATCGAAGGACATGCTTTGCTTTCACGTGGCCCAGGTTTGGTCTCCAGCAACACATGGTGCCCAGAACACTGAGCAGTGAACCCTGTGCACTGAGTCTCTGAGCACTGCTGAGTATAGTCAGAAACAAACAAGGCAGCAATTAAAGCGCCACCTCCTTTGGAAAGCGCTCCTGGATCCCCACAGGCAAAGCGAGCCCTTCTCATACGCATCGTGGCATCTACCTCACTAATATCCTAGACTCACTGCCACTAAACTAAGTCCCTCCGGAGGAAGGGGCCAAGTCTGATCTGCTGCCATGCACCTGGCCTCAGTGGGCACAGTACTGGGCATGAGTGGTGACAGCCATACCCTCCCCACCTTCCAGCAAGCTCCGGGCTTCACTGGCCGACCCTGGGCAGCTGAAGATCCTGACGGGAGACTGGTTCCAGGAAGCTCGTGCCCAGAGACACCACCACACCCACCTTGGCTCCGACCTTGTCCGAGCCTCTTTCCGCCGGAAAAAGAGTTCCAGGGGTGAGAGGAAACCTCTAGGGCAGAGTGGCAGAGGGCACTGGGGAGAGATGGCAGGGGGTCCCTGTTGCCCCAGAGCTGTGTGTCTCCTGGTGGGTATCTTCCCCAGGGGACCTCGGAGGTGGGCGGGCATCTCCAAGGTCTGGAGTTTCAGAGGTGGGGGCTCACAGACTTTCTCACCGGAGCACAGGAGACCAGTCTCCGGGCCTCCAGAAGGCCGAGGCTGCTGGCAAAGGGAGTGAAGAGGAGCCGGAACCTAGGTGAGGTGGTGTGGCAGGAGGGGAGGGCACCCACCAGTGACCCGAGCCCGTGCCCTGACGGTCACCCCTCCCTCCTCCTAGGCTCCCTGACGAAGAGGCCCCTCAAGAGAGGTTCATCCCGGCAGAGGTGAGTAATGAGTGACTGAAAGAGCTGGTGGAAGAAGCGCCCAGGTGCTGGGGTAGAGGTGGGGTGTGCTGGGAAGAAGCCTAAGAACCCTGAGACCCTACTGGGCCTCTCTCATCACCACCTATCAAAAGGGGGTGTGGACCCAGCTTCCAGGGGGGCCCTATTCAGTCAGGCAGAATTGTCCTGGAGGTAGGCAGACAAGCCCTCAGAGTAAAGAAGTGTGAAGTACAGGCCCAACTGGTCCTGCCAGGGTGCCATCCCTGCCCTGAGGACTGTGCCACATCTGAAGATGGGGATTGAGGGAAGGGGGGGCTCTGACCCACCATGACCTTTGACTCTGTATCCCTGGCTTCTTCAGGTACCTGATTCCTCCACCCCATACGCATCTCCATGGGCTTCTGATCAGGAGGACGGGCCCCATGCCCAAGAAGGTAAACCGTGGGAGGGTATGGGCTGGGGAGGAGAGAGGTCATGGGGACTTGAGCAACTCTGACCCCAGTTACTAGTGTTCAGCTGCCTCCTAAATCAGGGTGATTTTCCCCCGGGATACCCCGGGCCTGAACGTGCTGGGGGTCCCTGGGGTTGTAAACCAGCCCCTGCAATCTGGCTCAGGACCAGGCTCCAGAGGGGTTCTCCCCTCCACTTTTGCCCCACCCCAGCCCCTAGTCCTGGGGGCGAACAGGTCTGCACCGAGGAGAAGGCGTCGCCCGAGCCGCGGTCGCGGGGCACCGAGGAGCCAACGCCCCCTCCAGCTCAGGTAGGCGGGCGCGGCTGCGGCTGCGTTCAAGAGCCGGAGCGGACTCCCGAGGGGCCGGGCGAGCGCGGTCCGGGAGGGGCTGGGGGAAAGCGGGCGCCCCCCACTCACGCACTCACGCCCCCGTCTCCCCAGAACCAGGCCGCGTCCGAGGCCCACGAGAATGGGGAGGAGACGCCGGGACGCTGTCCCTCCCTCGACCGCATGCTCAGCAGCAGCTCCTCGGTGTCCAGCCTCAACTCCTCCACGGTGAGGGGGTGAAGGAGGGGGCCAGGGGACGCGGAAGGTGGGCACTACCCCCCGCACCCCGACGCTCACTCCCAGACCGGACACCGCAGCCCCAGACGCGCTGCCTCGGGTGCTGTCCTTTCTCCCCCGGTCCCCCACTCTCCCTGCCCCCGACGTGAGCCCCGCACCACGCCCTGATCACCCCCGCCCCCCGTCCGCAGCTGAGCGGCAGCCAGATGAGCCTGTCCGGAGAGGCGGAGGCGGGCGCCGTGCAGGTGCGCGGCTCGGTGCACTTCGCGCTGCGCTACGAGCCGGGCACCGGCGAGCTGCGCGTGCACGTGATCCAGTGCCAGGGCCTGGCGGCCGCGCGCCGCCGCCGCTCCGACCCGTGAGTGCGGGGCCCGGCCGGGAGGGGGCGCCCGCAGGCCCGGCCCGCCGCTTTTCGCGGGGCGCGGACCCCAGGGTTCTGGGGGTGGGGGGAGGTGGGCGGAGCCCCGCGGTGCTGGGGAGCAGTGAGTGCGTGGGGCGGCCGCGGGCCGGGGCGGAAGCGCGGCGTGGGCTCCCCGCCTTATCTCCCGTTCTCACCTCCCGCGCCCCAGCTACGTCAAAAGCTACCTCCTCCCTGATAAGCTGAGCAAACGCAAGACGGCGGTGAAGAAACGGAACCTGAACCCCGTCTTCAACGAGATTCTCCAGGTGCGGTTGCAGCGTCGTCGGGGCGACCCCCGGCTCAGCAGCCGGACGCCTAGGGGCAGGGGCAGCCGGAGTCAGGTGTCGTTGTCCCGTCAGGTGCTTTAGTCTATCTGGCTGGCCTGGCGGCGGTGTGCGTAGCGCTGGTCCAGATCCCCGTTGATGCCCTTGGGGGGGTGGGCTCCCCGAGGTTCCGTGCTGCAAGGACGGTGTTGGGACTAGGGCCGTGAGCGGCGCCCCGCCAATGTGCACCTCCTGTCCCCAGTACTCCGTCCCGCAGGCCGAGCTCCTGGGTCGCGTGCTGAGCCTGTCCGTGTGGCATCGCGAAAGCCTGGGTCGCAACATCTTTCTGGGAGAAGTCGAAGTGCCCCTGGACACGTGGAACTGGGACTCTGAGGCCACCTGGCTCCCTCTGCAGCCCCGGGTGAGAGAGCTGACCCGTGTGTGGAGACCCGCCTGTACCGCCGGGGTTCCCCTAGCCCTGCCCACGTGGCCAGAACAGGTTCCCGGGACCGTCCTCCTATTAACCCCGCCCCTCAGTACCTGGAGACCCCGGGCCGCTCTCCCCTGGGTCTGCCCCCGCCCCCGACCGGCCCCCCGGACTCCCGCAGGTCCCGCCGTCGCCCGACGACCTCCCCAGCCGCGGGCTGCTCTCGCTGTCCCTCAAGTACGTCCCTGCTGGTGCTGAGGGTGAGTGACCGGCCTGCGAGAGGCCAAACAGGACAGGCCCTGCAAGGAAGAAGACTCCTGTTCCCTGGGGAGGGGACCCGGCCTTAGCCATCCACTCTCCGCAGGCGCAGATCAGCCCCCCAGCGGGGAGCTGCACTTCTGGGTGAAGGAAGCCCAGGACCTCATTCCACTGCGCTCAGGATCCCTGGATTCTTACGTACAATGGTGAGGGCCCACTGGAATCTCCCGGCTTCCCTTCCTTCCGCCTGCAATGAACGCCCCACCTCAAACAAAACCTTCTATCATTTTTTGATTTTTGAGCCACATCTGATCGTACCCTTGGGGGGCTCATCATGTTCAGTGTTTGAGGGTTGCTCTTGGAACCGCTCTGGGGCCCATGTGGGGCCGAGATCAACTCCGTTTTTTTTTTTTTAAACTCCTTTAAGCTCTCTCCTAGCCCCCACTGCCCCTGCTAATCAACCTCCCATGATGGTCCAGGGTGAGCTTTGACCACTGAGAAGGGGTGCAGGGACAGCCTGAGCACAGGCCTGGAGTGAGGGAAGAAGCTTCCAGGCTCTACTGTTTAGGGTGACGGGCACTTATAGGACTGTTGAGGACCTGAAGCTGAGACCCGCAAGGTTGCAGGGACCTGCCATGGAAGGCCAGGCTGTAAGGCTTGCTCCAAACTTGTATTTGAGTGGTTTTCCAAGTAAGCGTGGGGAACCTCCAAGCCTTCCAGGTGCTCCAAACCCTCAGAGAGTACAATGAACATCAGTTCATGAGAGTTCCGAGTCCCTGGCTGGAGAAAATGACAGTTTTCTTTTTTTAGGTTTGGTACTTCTGAAAGGTAATTTATCTTGCAGAAGGAGTTCGGAGGTTTTAAAGAGTTTGGTGACTATTTCCAGTGGGTGGACAATAGGGAGCCAGTGTAGGTCACTGCACTGGACAGTAGTGTAATTATATTTCAGACATTATTCTGAATAGGGGTTTTAATTGGAGCACTGGAGGGAAATGGGCCAGACCTGAGTGTGCTCAGGGATCACTCCTGACTTTGCTCAGAGGACTATAAGCAGTGCCTGGGATCAAACCCGGATCATCTGCATGCAAGTCAAGCACCTTCACTGTACTATCTCTATGGCCCCTGGAATTGTAATTTTTTTATGTTTTCATTTGGGGGCTACACCTAGGTGCTCAGGGGCTACTCCTGGCTCACTGCTTAGTGGGAGTGTCAGAGGGGGTGATCTATACAGTACCTAGGATGGAACCCAGGCCTCCTGTATGCAGATCATGTGTTCCAGCCCACTGAACATTCTCCCCCAGTCCAAGGGTTGAAACTTCAGACAGAAAGCTGGTGCAAAGATTCCAGGTAGCCAATGTCTGGGGCCAGATCTCAAGGCAGAGCCGGAGGACTTTTGCATGCTGGAGAAGGACAGGACTTGGGGAGTATAAGGAGGTAGCTGCTTGAAGCCAACCTATCTCTCCCACAGTTCTGTGCTGCCCGATGACAGCCGAGCCGGCCGCCAACGAACAAGGGTGGTACGCCGCAGCCTCAGCCCCATGTTCAACCACACCATGGTCTACGATGGCTTTGGGCCTGCTGACCTGCGCCAGGCCTGCGCTGAGCTGTCCCTCTGGGACCACGGGGCCCTGGCCAGCCGCCAGCTGGGGGGCACACGTCTCAGCCTGGGCACAGGTGAGTGGAGCAGGGTCAGTCCTGAGAAATGGGATCGGAGTGCCACCCTGGGCCTTGTTTTGCCCTTACCTGAGCTTTGGAGTCCATGGAGAACTTGGGTTGACAGTGCATACATAATCTGGGACCAGGTGGGTGATCCTTGAGACTGAGGTGTCCAGTGTTTCCCTCCCCCCACCCCCCCCACATCCAGGTAGCAGCTATGGGCTGCAGGTGCCCTGGATGGATTCCACCCCTGAAGAGAAGCAGCTGTGGCAGACTCTCCTGGAGCGACCGTGTGAGTGGGTGGATGGCCTCCTGCCCCTCCGAACCAACCTGGTCCCCCGGACATAGCTGTCCCAGCAGTCCTGTCAAACTCTCTGCACCCCCATCTCAGAGCCTGCCCTTGGCTAAGGTCAATAAAGTCTATCCTAAGGACAATGAGGGGCTGATGTCTGCTTGGGGAGCAGGGGAGAGGAGCAAAGAGGCAGCAGGAAAGCCAGGGATAGAAGGGGACCAGGGAAGGCATTTTAGACTCAGACCTAAAGACCTAATGACTGGTCCTTGGGCCCCACCTGGATGCCATACCTTAAAGACTGGGGTTGGAGCCATAGAACAGTGGATAGGGAGTTTGCCTTACATGCAGCCGACCGGGTTTGATTCCCAGCATCCCATATGATCCCCTGAGCACGACCAGGATTAATTCCTGAGTGCAGAGCCAGGAGTAACCCCTGAGCATCGCCGGGTGTGACCCAAAAAGAAAAAAAAAGTTTAAGACCCAAGGATACAAAAGTGTTGGGTTTAATAGTCTTTGCCTGGCATGCTTGGGCCATCTTTGTGGTTGGTTTTCCCACCTGCCTGATCTCTTCCCATTGCCCCTCGGTGTGGGATGTGTCAGTGCTGCTGGGGTCCTCTCCATTCTCCATCCTTCGGTGTGGCCTCCATCCTCTGCTGCCTTCACTCCGCCTCTCGGGAACCGAGCGCCGCTGCTGTGGATCCTGCTCGCTGTGTCAAGATGGCTCTCCAGATGCGACACACCATCCCTCCCCTAGTATGTGGAGGAGTTCTGTGTGACTCTACCAGAAGGCCCTGGGCTCTCTCCGTTACCCAGCCTGCCTGAGACCCTTGTTTCCGGGGAGCACCAGTCTGTCACTGCGGGTGAAAATAGGACCAGCGTGAGGCCACAGATGTGGTTCATGCCTGGGAAGCGCAGCACACACCTGATACGGGTGTAGATGAGGTCGTCTCGGCAGGCACAGGTCAGGAGGATGTGGAGGGTGAAGCGGTGACTCAGGAGCTGGTTGTGGACAAGGAACCAAAGAATCAGGAAAGCTGGGCCTAGACACCCGCTGGAGCAGATCACACCCATTCTTATCTGTGCCTGGGAGGGAACACTAAGGGACCCTTCTGCAGGCTCTCAGCAGCAGAAGGACAGAGGAAGAGGTGCTGAAAGATGGCAAAGATGGAGTTTGGGGTTGCTGAGGTCACAACCAGCCACCATTCTTACCGTCTGGATGGTTCCTGCATCCACGTTCAGTTCCTGTAGCCACTGCACCAGGTTCTGGTCCCCCAGGAGAGCCGCTGTCAAGAAGTCAGGTGTGAGTCAGGGTGTCTCCTTCCAGATGCTGCCTCGCACCCACCACAGGTGAACACCGCCCGGGTCCTGCTCACCTGAGGGCTGTGAGGCCACGGCAGAGTTCTCAGCCTGTCCCTTCACCTGCTGGAGAGCCTGCTGCACCAGAACCTGGCACTCTCGTTCCTTCTCAGCCAGCACATCTCGGAGTCTGTTGGGGTGCGGAAGGGTGGGTACAGTGGAAGGGGCAGCATGAGGATGGAGCGCGAAGCAACAGACAAGTTCTAGGGGCTTTACCTATCCGTTTCTGCTCTTAAGAGGCTCAACTGCACCATCAGAAGTGGGGGGCTCTGCTCAGGTTCCACAGGGGCAGGGTTGGGCTGGACCACCGTCTCCAGCTGCTCTGGCTGGGATGCCTCTTCTTTATTCGGTTCCTCTAACCTCGGAGGGATTGCTTCTTCCTTCACCTCTTACAATAAAAGCGGGATGAGAATTCCCAGTTGGGACCCCAGAGGCCAGCACAGTCAAGGCTCTGGGGCAGGGAGACCGAAGTCCACCCAGGTAAAGCCTGCCCCTGACCACTCCCACTGCCGACCTCATTTGTGTTTGCCACGCCCCCAAAAGGGACACACGCATGCACGCACGCACACACTCACACGCACCTACCAGGGCCCAGCACCGCCAAGGCAGCTCGCACAGCACGGCTGAGCAGTGAGTCCAGCACAAACATCCAGTGTGGGCGGATCTGGCGCCGGCGGAGGATTTGCTTCACCTGGAGAGGGAGGACAGGCACGATGTGAGACTGCTGAGCCTCACAGCACCATGGAGCTGGAGCTGGGAAGGTCTAAGAAATCTCCTGCCAAGGGCTGGGAAGATACCCCCAAGGCCAAGTGTGCATGCTTTGTGTGCTGGAACCTGGTTGGAATCTCGGCACCTAGCACCTTGCTGAGAAAGAATGTTGCCCCAAAATAAAATAAAACTACTCCTGTCAGGTGGGGATGTGTAGAGATGAGTCAGGCCCTGTGTTTATCTAGGCAGTGAAAAAATAAATATTCTGCCAGAGGCAAGTGGAGTGGGAGGGCTTGGGGTCAGGGGAGGGGCTGGGAAGCTAATGACCAGGTGGCTGTCCCTTTCCAGATGATGACAGTGACTTCCTGGAGAAGGCGCCTATGGAGTCTTGCGACATCAAATGCTTGCACAGTTACAGGAGGCACTGGGGAACCCACCCAACTACTCATTGGAAAGCCCTTATTGCGAGAATATTTTTTGTTGTCGTTTTGGGGCCACACCCGGCTGTGCTCAGGGCTTACTCCTGGCTCTGTACCAGGGATCACTCCCCGAGGTCTGGCAGGGGTGTGGGGGCAGGTACTGTACTATCACTCCATTTCACTGCAGTCTTACCGCATTCGGAAAGGCGAAGAGAGGTCCCTGCAGAAGGGCTGGCCCAAGGCCCTGGGTCTGCAGCTGTCCTTGCAGTGCTCGCAACTCCTGGGCCAGCTGTCGGCGGTTGGGAGTGTGGATGTGTGCCCCTAGGCAGCGCAGTAGCTGCTGCACGTGATTCCTGCCCAAACAGGAATCCTGAGAAGGAAGAGAGAGGTTGTCCAGCACGTCTTCGCACCTGAGCTAAGAGATGCTGGTGGGGTGGGCGGGGGTAGGTGGGGAAGACCCTCAGCAGAAATCCTGTCCATGCTGAAACACTAGGGGGTGCCGGGGCGGTCCGCCCACCTGTTCCTGCTCGGAGCGCAGATTCTCCGCCAGGCTGTGCTGCTCCTGCTCCAGCACTGCGGCCAGCATGGCCCGGCGCTTGCTCTCTTGGTGCAGCAGGCTCAGCCCCGAACTCTCCTGGGGAGACGCTGGTTCTTCAGCCCCGGGCTCCTCGGGGACCCTGGGTGTGAAAGTTGTTGGAGGGGGCAGGCAGCAACATCGAACGGCACCACCCCACAAAGCCCTAAGCCCTAAGGACTGTATCGGGGCTCTTTGATTCCTCTGGGATAGAGATGAGCCCAGCACTGAAGGGGCACAATAAAAATAAGAGCATCTGGGAGATTAGTACCAAATGCCTTTCTTGCAAGTGGTTGAGGCGTACAAGTCCTCAAGGGCAGTACCATCCCAGAAACCTGGTTCTCACCGAAGCTGGCTGGTGCCCCCGTAGCTGAGGCAGCGCTTAGGAGGGCTAGGCGGGTGCTGAGAGGGTGTCTGAGGGCGCGGGAATGTCTGGGACTGGGTGGTCGAGTCCACTGAAGGAGTGGGGCTGGATGAGGTAGCATCTGAGGGAGGGACAAATCCATCAGCCTGGGGGACAAACCCCCAGGCATCTTCCTGCATGGCACCCCTACCTCACATTTGCTCCCTCCCTCCACCCAAGTGGTACCTGAGGGTTGTGGAGCATGTCGGGGGGAGCCAGGGCTGCAGCTCCTCTTCCCAGGCTGTAGGAAGGGATCCCCCAGCAGTGCCTGAGCACTGGCTCGAAGATGGGGGTCTGCTTCAAAAGTTCGAAGGAGGAAGGCTTGTGCCTCGGCTGACAGAGAACTGGGCACTGGTGGGTGCACCTTGAACATGCCCACCTGGAAGAGGACAGGGAGAGCAAACGGGGTCAGGGTTAGAGGTGACTGGGGCTCAGTCTGTCCCCACCACAGCCTGAAACATGGCTCTTACCTGAAACATGGCAGCCTGTGGGTTTCCGAGCTCATGGAAGGGCGGGCGGCCTGTGGCCATCTCAATGACAGTGCAGCCCAATGACCAGATGTCAGCTGCCTTTCCGTACCCCCGGGGGCCCTGGTCGATGATTTCCGGGGCCATATACTGCAGGGTCCCTAGGACATAGTGGTCATGCTGATGGAGCCTTTCTCACCTCCAGGGTCCTATCATCCTCTGGTCCTCTACTCACTCTGAACCCCATCATCTGGGACAGACCCGATCACCTACCCTGGTTGTCAGGCCTCTCCTGAGTTTTCTCGCTCATCCCTCACAGCCCATCCCATCATCCAGTCTGGACAGCATCACCTACTCTACACTCCGTTGCCTACAATGGCCCACAGAGCTCAGAGTGCTCTTGGGTTTCAATTCAGGCACAACACCCCAAAACACACCAGCTCTCCAATTCCTAGAGAGCCTCACTTGACCCCTGTCCTAGTACAGCTTCCTGGGGTCCATTCCCCTAGAACTTGAGTCTGGGCCAGGAGAAACACTGTTTCCTGGACAGCCCCAGGTTCTTTGCCCAGGTCTGCACTCCCATGGCCACCTTCCCGCCCTCTCACCTGTGAATGTCTCTGTGCATGGTGTGATGCCCGCCAGTCGCTTGGAGGTGCCAAAGTCAGAAATCTTGAGCAGCCCACTGAAAGTGTTGATCAGTACATTGTCCCCCTGAGCAGAGTGAACATCAAACTCCGTGAATATCAGGCTCCTGAAACAGTATATACTGACCCTCTCCAGTAACTACATCCCTTGCACACTGAAAGATCGGTGACCTGTGGCCACCTCTGTTAGGTAGAGCCCAATAACCAGGTACCAGTGGTTGAGGATGGAACAATAGCACAGTGGATAGGGCGCTTGCCTTGCATGCAGCCTTTGATCCCCAACATCGCATATGGTCCCCCGATTACCACAAGGAGTGATCCCTGAGAGCAGACCCAGGAGTAAGACCTAAGTACCACCAGGTGTGGCCCCAAAAAAGTAAAAAAAAAAAGATATCAGTGACCCTGGGACTCCCTTGCCTGCCCTGTCTCTACCAGCCTCTCCCCACCCCCAATCCCCACCATCCCATTGGTTCCCCAGCTAGCTGGCTTCTAGCTGAGCTGAGATTGAACCACTCTCCTTTGTCAGAAAATCTCTCTGGTGAATTCCCCTACCCTCTGCAAAGGGCCAGCTGTCTGTCCCTGTGTCTCCACTGAAGACCAGGA